AGCTGAATTGGTTTCAGAGCTTCTAGATTAGAGCTAGCTGTAGCTGATGCCTTGATTTCAACTCCTAGTAATGGTGGAAGAGCATCCCCCACCGAGCTCTCCTCTTAACTATAGAACTAGGAGTTCATCCAGGATGGTTTTGACTCCTCAGCTTACAGAAATTTGTTTTATAGCAACAGAAGATTCATCCAACTCATCTGTCACCTAATACTAAATTCCTTTGTTTTTCCTGAAGGTACCAGTCATTGGCTTGAGAGCAGAATAATCTCAGCTTAACTTGATTTCATCTACAAAGACTTGTTTGCAAAATAAGCTACCTCAAGACAATAATTTTTTTAAAAAGAAAAAAATGTTTTCCTTCATAGTTCCCAGGTAGACATAAGTTTTAGAAAGATATAGAGCAATTAGAAGCTAGTATATAGAAGATGAGACTGCTACTTACTTCCTTTACTTTGGAAAATTATTTGACAAGATGACCCACTATTTTCTTTCCAACGGAAGTGTTTATATTGGCCAAAAGACATGTTCAACAATATTTGAGGGACTTTCAGGAGTAGCTCCCATGGTAGAATGTGTGCTTCACATATTTGAAGCCCTGGGCTCAATCTCTAGCACCAATCCCCTCCAAAATCATATCCACAGCAGCTTCATTCATAATACCCCAAAATGAAAACACTCGAATATCCATTAATATTATAACAGATAAAGTGAAATATACTCATGCATGGAATGGGATATTATATATTTATGAAACAAAAAAGTGATGCTACATTCTACAACAGAAGGATTGATGCTCATGAGCATAATACTGAGCTAAAAGGACTAGGTACCAATGAGTATTCAGTGTATGATAAACTTACAAAATAGATTTAATAAAAAAAAACCAAACCATTCTGGGAAAAGGAATGGAAGTTTGTATAGGGGATAGGATAGAGAGATACCTGAGGTAGACAGCTGAGCTACTCAGCATACTCCAGGTTCAGAACTGGATGGCAGACACATAGGTTCATTGCTGGGTCAAAATTTATCAGACTACAGTTGGGACACTTCTCTATATAATCAACTGAACGTTCCTTACCATTGACAATGTGGAGAAATTACACTCCTCATTTGCTGCTGATAGAAATATAAAATGTATTGCCTCACAACCCTTCCTGGATCCCTCCTTCCCTCCTTCCCCTCCCTCCCTCTCTCCCTCCATTTTCTTCCTTCATCCCTCTCTCCCTTCTTTCCTTCCTTCCATCCCTTCCTTCATTCCTTTGATCCTTCATTCCTTCCTGTCCTCCTTCCTTTCTTCTTCCTTTCCTCCTTCCCTCATTTCCCATCTTCTTCCCTCTCTTCCTCTTTTTTTTTTTAAACTGGTACTGGAGTCTAAACTCAAGAGACTTTGGCTTACAAGACAAGTGGGTTTTGGGGTTTGGGGCTTGTTATTGTTTGGGGGGATTTTATTTTTTGCCTGTCTACTTATATAAGGGACCTCCAGGTACATAACTCAACTGACATGGTGACTCATGCCTGTAATCTCAGCTACTCAGGAAGCAGGGGCAGAGGGATTAAGAATTCCAGGGCAGTCCAGTCAAAGTTACTGAGATCCAATGGCAATGACTTATGCCTGTAATCCTGGTTTCTTAGGAGGTCGAGATCTGAGGACCATGGCTTGAAGCCAGCCTGAGCAGGAAAATCTGTGATACTCTTTATCTCTAATTAACCACCAAAAAAAAAACCCAGGAAGTGGCACTGTGACTCAAGTAGTTGAGCGCCAGCCTTGAGCAAAAAAGCTCAAGGACAGTGCTGAGTCCCTGAGTTCAAGCCCCAGGATTTGCGCGCGCGTGCACACACACACACACACACACACAATTAATGAGAGACCCTGTCTCAAAAGTAAAATACAAGCAAAAGGACTTAAGGTTGACATGGTAGAACACCTTCCTAGCATGTGCTAGGCCCTGGGTTCAATCTTAGTACCAGGGTGAGGGTAGGAGAGAGTAGACAAATTCATAAACAGAAATATAGAATAGATGCTGGTTGCTGGTGGCTGATGACTACAAATGTAGCCACTAAGGAGGCTGACATCAGAGGATCAAGGTTTGAAGCCAACCTGAGTAGATACATTCTCTAGACTCTTATCTCTAATTAACTAGCAGAAAGCTGTAACTGGAAATACGGCTCAAGCAGCTTCTTACCAGCCAGAAGTAGGAAAGGCTACTGTAGCATGAGGCCCTGAATTCAAGCCCTCACAGCAGCATATACATGAGAAAGTAGAATAGAGGTAACCAGGGTTTGTGGTGAGACAAGAATGGAGAGTTCTTGGAGTACTCAGAATTTCTATGTAGGGTGCTGAGAAAGTTCTAGACATGCATAGTGGTAATTTTGAGTCCCTTGCTCTCTTCTTTTGACAGTGCTGGGGTTTGAACTCAGGGCCTCATGCTAGTTAGGCAGGTGATCTACCACTTAGCCTCCAACCTGATAGTGGTGATTTTGAATGCACTTAATGGCATTGAATTACACACTTAAAATGATCCATTTTAGGTAATGTCTATTTTACCACAATAAAAAGCAAACAACCACAACAAAAATAAATCTCTAGTACTTTTCTTTCAAAGTTCTTATTAACCTGATGGAAGACAGACTTGTAAGACAAGGGCCCTGAACTCCAAGAGTCTGTCTTAAAGGCAAACCTGAGAAGATTCCTTTTGGGGCTTCTTAATTTAGGTCAGTTGAGTCTTCAATTCTGTCCCTGAAACAAGAGCCATTTGCTTTGTACTAAGACTGTAAAACGATCTTGCTGTTGAGACATTCATTCATCTTACCTTAATTCTTGACTTTTCTGTTCTGTAAGGTTGCTGCTGACTTTCTGAGTTAATCTATTCTCATTGTTAAACCAGAGAAATTGTGGTTTGTTTGGTTGTGGTTATTTTCCACCTGGGTTGCTGCTTTCATGATGTTCAGCTGGCCTGGTAGCTAGTCTTCATTCCACGCTTTCATTAAGGGATCATGTGAAATGATTAAAAACACTCATCCTCAGCCAGACTCCAGTGAGTATCCCAATTAAATGAAGGGTAAGGAGTAGTACCAGGAGCTCCACTGGTAACAAAGGCCTCAGTTCCTCAGCCTGGCGCTCTGGCTGCTTTTGTCCTTGGCTTCCTTCACTCAGGGCTGCCTCCACACGCCCACCTCTGCGATTCCTCTCCTCACACATCTTTTCCCCTGTCCCCAGCTAATGCAGGTTGATATCCTGAAACCTGCTCAAGTCTCGACTTCTTGATCTCATACTGGCCTCTGAGTGAATTTTGTAGAGTTTGAAGGTGATAAGCAGGTAATAAAGGAACCACAAATTACCCACAGTCCTTTGTATCATTTTCCTCCTTGCCTTTGTTCTTGCCGCCTTTCCCCATCTCTTCTGTGTCTGCTTAAATGTTTTATTAGAGTTGGAATCAATTGTATAAAAAAGTTGGGTCCTAGCTGAGTGCTGGTGGCTCATACCTATAATTGTAGCTACTCAGGAGGCTGATATCTGAGGCTCACTGTTCAAAACCAGCCCAGGCAGGAAAGTCCTTGAGACTTTTTTTTTTAATTTTTTTATTGTAAAGGTGGTGTACAGAGGGGTTACAGTTATATAAGCAAGGCAATGAGTACATTTCTTTGTGAACAGTGTCAGCCCTCCATTTTCTCCCACTTTCCCCCTCCCCTCCTTGAGACTCTTATCTCCAATTAACCACCAAAAAAACAGAAGTGGAGCTGTAGCTCAAGTGGTAAAGTGTTTTCCTTGAGCACAAAAGCTCTAGGACTGGGCCTAGGCCCTGAGTTCAAGCCCTAGGACCAGCACACCCCTCTTCCTCCTGACCCCCCCCCGCCCCACACACAGTAATAATCAGGTCCTCTTTTTCCACTTGATTTCATATTATAAATGTTTCTCCATGTTCTTCAATATTCCTTGAAAACCTTTCCTGATGCTCACTGCAATCAGGAAGATGGGAGGCATCTTAAGTAATTGTTATTGTTGTTATTTTTGTGCCAGTCCTGAGGCTTGAACTTTAGGCATAGGCACTGTTCTTCAGCTTTTTTGCTCAAGGTTAGTGCTCTACCACTTGAGCCACAGCTTCACTTTCTGCTTTTTGGTGGTTAATTGGAGAAAAGAGTCTCCCAGACTTATTTACCAGAGCTGGCTTTAAACCACAATCCTCAGCTCTCAGCCTTCTGATTAGCTAGGATTACAAGCATGAGCCATCAGCTCCTGGCTAATTATATCTTCAGTGTTATGAATAGGTAATGCAGTTACTGAAAAAGTACCAAAAGGATGCAGTTTTAATTGGCCCTCCTACCTCTGTACCATCTACTTATTTTCAATTTATTTCCCACTTCCAGCCCAGATATGTAATAGTTATATGTTGTTCACACATGGATGTATAAATGTGCATGTATATGTGCATGCACACACGCGCTCGCACACACACACACACACACACACACACACACACAACCTTATCTGCCTCTCCCCTGACTTTTTATGTATACAGAGAGTTAAGATCAGTAGACTTACATTATTTGCTGTTGCAAAACTTGGCTACTTGTTTGGTGTAAAGTATATCTCAAAGTGAATCTCTGAATGAATTAATTACCTTTCATGTTAGGCTCCTCATGTGGAGAGTTCAGTTTGTTTCAATGGTAATTTCATTTTGCAGTGGATGTGAGGCCAAATGGCTGTCTTTGCCAAGTCTTATGTAACTACCAGATGCAGAGCCTTCCACCAGCCACCATATGTTGTAAGAAATAAAGCCAAAGAGACTAAAACACGTGTTCTCCAGCAGGAGAGCACATGCTGAGTCCCTGGATGTACAACACGAAGTCACTCCATGTGACATAGCTCTTAGGGAAATACTTTTTCCTTTTCTTTGTGTTCTTTAGGGTGACGTCCCAAGGGACTCGTAGGAAAGAGGGAAAGAGCTGGGGGGGAGCTCTGTCCCATGTATGCCACTTCATTTTGCCTCCGTCTCCCCTAGGTACTGGCGGAGGACGTTGGGCATGCAGGTTCGCTATGTGCAACATGGAGATTACCAGTTCTGTTATTCCTTCCGGGGCCGGCCTGGACACAAGCCGTCCATCCTCATGCTGCACGGATTCTCTGCCCACAAGGACATGTGGCTCAGTGTCGTCAAGGTACAGGTCCAAGTGACTCTCCTCTCTTAGAAGGAAAGGGTTTCACAGCAATGGAGGAAGGTAAAGAGAGCCCAGAACTATAGTTTCTCATTTATTTTGGAAATTAACAGAGTTATGCTGATGCTTTTGTCAGAAATGAACTGAATATTATTTGTAAAACCTGTACCTCTGCAATCTTTTCTTTGTGCTGGTACTGGGGCTTGAATTTAAGACCTTGGCCATGTCCCTGAACTTTTTTGCTCAAGGTAGGTATTCTACCACTTGCCTCAGAAGTATTTTCTTCTCTGAGGATTGTGCTGAACCATAACCCTCAGATCTCAGCTCCTGAGTTGCTAGGATTACAGGTGTGAGCCTCTGGTGCCTGGAAATCTTTATACCTTGAGGTTTCTGACAGTGCCAGGTCAGAACTGCCATGGTAATCAAGGCTAGACCTTTCTCTTTGTGAAATAAGGACTTGCTTGTAGCCCAGACTTGCCTCAGACTGGTGATCCTTCCCCTTCAGCTTCCCAAATAATTGAGATTACAGGCATGAGCCACCATACCTGGTTAAGGCTGGACTTTTGTAAAAAGCATTTGTTACGCTGATGATGTAGATCAGTGGTAAAGTAGCTTGCCTAGCATGCCCAAGGCTCTGAGTTTGACCCTCACCACCAATTTTTTGTATATGTGCCTGTTCTGGGGCGGGGGGGGGTGTCTTAGGCACTGTCCCTAAGCTTTTGCTCAAGTCTGGTGCTCTACCATTTGAAACACAGTTCCTCTAGCTGTTTTATAGTTAATTGGTGGTAAGAGTCTCAATGACAAAAAAAAAAAAAGACTTTCCTGGCCAGGCTGGCTTCGAACCTCAATCTCAGCCTCCCAAGTAGCTAGGATTACAGGTGTGAGCCACCAGTGGCCTGCCTCCCACCACCATTTTTTAGAAATGTATTTACATATAACAGGTTTCCTCTTTCTTCTCCCTCCTCTTACTTCCCTTCTCCTTCCACCTTTCTTTCATTTCTCTCACTCCCACCCCTGTTTTCCTTAGCCACTTAGAGAATCAGTCTTGATGTGGTAGCTTTCTGGAATAGTTTTCTAAATCAGTTTCTGTCCTGGTTCACTTGCTGCACTTGGTAAAAATAACCAGCCAGTGAAGGCTGGGGCTTGTGGAAGTCTTAGGAGAAAGGCAGCATCCCACACTCTTCCTCAGGTGGGGCCATACATGCCTGATCCCAACTATTACCTACACTGGAGGATGAGGCTCATACCTCCTGTGGCTACTTGGGTTCCTATTTCCAGATGGCTACGAGGATAGTCATCCTCTTATGTTTATGGGTCTCTCCTTCTTATCCCCCACTGATAAGCATCGTCTCTATGACTGCATAGTGTTTATAACTGATGTGTCTGAAAATGGAGCTGTGGCTCAAAATGATAGAATGCTAGCCTTGAGCAAAAGAGCTCAGAGACAGTGCCCTGGCCCTGTGTTTAAGCTCTACAACTGGCAAAAAAGAAAAGAAAAGAAAAGAAAACACATACACACACACACACACACACACACAACCTTTAAGAAAAGAAAAGCTGGGCACTGATGGCTCAAGCCTGTAATCCTAGCTACTCAGGAGGCTGAGATCTAAGGATCATGGTTTGAAACCAGCCCAGGCAAGAAAATCCATGAGATTCATCTCCAATCAACCTCCAGAAAATTGGAAGTGGCACTGTGGCTCAAAATGGTAGAGCACTAGCCTTGAGAGAAAAAGCTCAGGGATAGCCCCCAGGCCCTGAGTTCCATGACCAACAAAACATAAAAAGGAAACTAGGAGATCTCAAAACGCACATCCCCAGGGATGTCTAACCAGGAGACTTGGTAAGTGGGAACAACCTTTTTAGAAAAGCAAGTAGATATAGTTGTCACACCATATTCTGAGTTTCTGGGTCTATATGTCCTCAGTTCCTTCCAAAGAATCTGCATTTGATCTGCGTGGATATGCCAGGACACGAGGGCACCACTCGCTCCTCCCTGGATGACCTGTCCATAGATGGGCAAGTCAAAAGAATCCATCAGGTAAGTAGGAGACACCATCAAAACTCCCCACCCAGCTGCCCACCACTGCTTGTCCAAGCAGGAGAACCAGGCAAGAGAGTTCCACGTTGACTCCAGAGCAGCCTCCAGTGCATTCGGTCTGCCCATGATCCCCAACTAAATGGCAACTTAGTGCCATCCACAGTCATGTTACGAACTGTTCTGCACTAAGCTGGTGGCACTTACTCATGAGGAAATACAACTCGAGCATTTTCCCAGCCCTTTGAAAATGAGTTTAGAATTCTTCAAGACAGTTTTCCACTCTCGAGGTTTGTTTGTGTGTTTACCAACTACATGGTAACAGCAATTGCCCCTCTGCCTAGTTAGGGACAATATACTTTGCATTTTGTTGTATTTTAACATCTATCTCTTGCTTTTCCTGACTGGGATCTTAAGGCCAGGGAAGCTAGGGAGCCATTTCACAATCGATCAGCCTATATTGTTTCAAATGAACATTAGATATTTTCTCTGTTTACTTAATGTCTGCCTCTGCTGTTGAAATACATATTTTAAATAAGATCAGGAACTTATCCTTTTTCTGCATCCCCAGCAGCTAACCTTAATTCCTTGCATATAGTAAATATCCCCCCTCATCCATTTTTTTTCTGTGATGGATAGATGTATGGAAGTTGATTGGATAAATGGATAGCTGTGGGGGAGGTTTTAAATTAAAGCAGAAGTCATCAAACTGTGGCCTTATAATTGGCCTGCCATCTGTTTGGGTAAACTAAGTTTTAATGGAACAGAGAGCCACACTTGGTCACTTAGATATTGTCTTTGGCTGCTTTTGTGGGATAATAGCAGAGTTGAATGGTTGCAAAAAGACCATATGTGACACTTCAGTCACCTGTGCCAAGTAGAGTATAGCCCAAGGGATGGGCCTACCACAGGGATGGCTAATTGTCTGGATAGTGGATCGCATGGTGTCAGAACCTTTTTGATCAGTAGTGATTCTCCATGGACCATAGTCACATTCAGGTGTACAGTTGTCTCCACTCTGTAATGACCACTGCTGAGGTATAACCAGCCTCTTCCTTCCTCCCCATCACCTAGTTTGTTGAATGCCTCAAGCTGAATAAGAAACCCTTCCACCTGATCGGCACATCCATGGGTGGCCACGTGGCTGGTGTGTATGCTGCCTATTACCCATCGGATATTTCCAGCCTGTGCCTTGTGTGCCCTGCTGGTGAGTTACATGGCTGGAACATCCCCCTGTGTAACTTGTGCATGGAGTGTGAATCTTTGAAGACATGAGTATACAGTGTCTGATATGACTATTTAAAAAAAATCACCTTTCTGGTATGGAATTTAAAGATTATGTGATGCTTTATTGATAACTAACCAAGCAACAACTACCTACCCATAATCTGACTGATTCAAAATGTAGAGGAGGGCTTCTGTAGTTCAGTGATAGAATTGCTTGCCAGGCATATGCAAGGGCCTGGGTTCTATCTCTAGTATTAGAAAGAAAAAGTAGAACTAGCCCTGTTCCAAAAAACAATCAGAGGTACAAAGTGAAAATGTGCGTAGTGCTTTGTAGTGCATAGTGCTTTGAACTATGTGCATGAGAGCATTTGTTTTTGTTTAGTGTTATTTTTGCAGTAACTGGGGTTTGAACTCTGGATGTGGCATTTGTTAGGCTGATGCTGTACCACTTGAGCCATGCCTCTAGCCTCCTTTTGTACTGGTTATTTTCAAGGTAGGGTCTTTCCTTATGCTGGGGCCAGCCTGGGCTGCAATTCTCCTACTTGTGTTTCCTCATGCTGCTGAGGATGACAGGTTGTGTACCCTTATACCCAGCCGTTGGTTGAGATGGAGTCTCAAGAACTTTGACATGTGAGCTGGTCTTGAACTATAATCTCAGCCTCTTAAGTAGTTAGGATAACAAGCTTGAGCCTCTGGCCATAGCTTAAACTATAATGTTCTGTGATCACTCAATATTTATTCAGCTTTCAAGGGCTAAGAGTATTTGTGAATTTAATTCTCACTATATCTCTGTGAGGTGAAGGTACTATTTTTATACCCCTCCTTTTTGTTTCTTTCTGAAAACAGAGATCTTCATTAATTACTAGACCTTTAGAAAAAGATGAGTAGGCTTTGATTTTTTTTCTATACATATACATGTTGACTTGAGCTATAATTACCACCTGAAATAAGGTTTTTAAATTCATTTTTCTTCCATAAGTCTTCAAGCTTGAGTTTATAGTATATAATAGATAAAAATCTTTAGTTCTTTTTTGTTTTCCTTCTCCCTCTATTTTTGATATTTTATTGGGGTATTATTTACATAAAACAATTTGTTGTTTAAATATTAAGTATATGTTGGGCACCAGTAGCTCATGCCTGTCTGTAATCCTAGCTACTCAGGAGCTGAAATCTGATGAACAATGTTCAAAGCCAGCCAGGTAGGAATGTCCATGAAACTCTTATCTCCAATTAATCCAGAAGTGAAGCTGGGGCTAAAGGGGTAGGGTTCTGTTTAGTAAAATTGCTGAGGAACAATGCCTAGACTCTGAGTTCAAACCCCAGAACTGGCACACATACAAACATTTTCAGTGTTTATCTATGACTGTTTATATTCATAATTACCATACACATAAAGATATTATGCCCACTTGATAGATGGAAACATTGAGATACCAAGAAATCATATTAAGCTGGACATGGTGATTCATGCCTGTAATCCTAGCCACTCAGGACACAGGTACCTAAGGATCACAGTTCAAAGCTAGCCCAGTCAGATAAATCCTAGAGACTCATGTCTCTAGTTGATCAGCAAAAAGCCAGAATTGGAGATGTGGCTCTAGTGATAGAACCTCAGTTTGGAGTGAAAAAGTTGAGACTATAGAGGTCCTGAGCCTCCGTGCTGGCACACATACAAAATCACATTAGAACCAGAACCAGGATCCCCATACAGATTTCAGCACCCACACTGAGGGTGTGGGAATCCTTTGACACTTGCTCTCTTATTTATATGATGCAGCTAGAAACTGAGCATTCGCACCTCTTCCTTAACAAGTTGACCTTAAAAATACTTCTGTCACCATGAAAGTTTTCAGGTCTGTTAAGGACACTGAAATTAGAGACAAGCTCCCAAAGAGTTCTCTCTTCCCCCCTTTTCCAAGTACCATGTCTGAAATGAAATCATTTGGTCTTTTATTTATTTATTTATTTTTGGTCTTTTATTTCTTTTTATTTTTTTATTTTTTGGTCCAGTCGTGGGGCCTGAATTCTGGGCCTGGGTGCTTTTCCTCAGCTCTTCAGCTCAAGGCAAGCACTCTACCACTGAGCCACCTTCCCAGCCCCTCATTTGGTCTTTTAATAGCAAAGTTTGAGAATTGAAGAACAGCTATAGTAGATGTCTATTAAATATTAATTCATTTCTGGAAGGTTATATCTAACTGGCATTTCCATGTATATGTTTGGTTTCTCAGAGAAGAACTTCATATCAGTAAAATGTTAAATTGCTTATATGTGAAAAAATATTTCAAAAATTAGCATAATACCCTACCTAAGTTTTTATTATTAAACTGGTTTTAAATTTTGAAATAATTTTAAATTTATAGAAAATTTTCAGAAATAAAGACCCTACTCCCTTTCCCCAGTTTCTTCCTTCCTTCTTTCTTTCTCTTTCTCCTTCCTTCTTCCTTTTTCTCCTTCCTTCCTTCCTGTCTGTCTTTCTCTCTCTCTCTCTCTCTCTCTCTCTCTCTCTTTCTTTCTTTTTTTCTTTTTTGTGGGTCCTGAACTCTGGGCCTGGGCGCTGTCCCTTAGCTCTTTAGCTCAATGTTAGCACTCTACCACTGAAGCCACAGCACTACTTCCAGCTTTTTCTGCTTATGTGGTGCTGAGGAATTGAACCCAAGGCCTCATGCATACAAGACAAGCACTCTACCACTAAGCCACCTTCCCAGCCCTAATCTTGTTTCTTAATGGCAACAAATTTATTGTGAGATGAGCTTGTTAAAAATGGAGGAAACTGGGGCTGGGAAGGTGGCTCAGTGGTAGAGTGCTTGCCTTGCATGCATGAGGCCCTGGGTTTGATTCCTCAGCACCACATAAGCAGAAAAAGCCAGAAGTGGCTCTGTGGCTTAAGTGGTAGAATGCTAGCCTTGAGCTGAAGAGCTGAGGGACAGCGCCCAGGCCCAGAGTTCAGGCCTTATGACTGACAAAAAAAAGAGAGGGGGGAAGAAAAGAAAAGAAATGAAACAAGATTAGCTGGGGAGCTGGGAGCTTGTGCCTGTAACCCTGGCCTCTTAGGAGCCTGAGATCTGAGGATCATAATTCAAAGCCAGCCTGGATAGACAAACCCATGACACTCTCATTTCCAATAAACAATCAAAAAGCTGGTAGTGGAGGCATGGGTCAAGTGATAGAGGACTAGTGATGAATGAAGAAGTCAAGCAAGAGTGTGAATTCAAGTCCCACTACTTGCACCTACGCATGTGCGTGCGTGCACCTCCTACATACAACACACACACACACCCTACATACAACACACACACACACGCACACACACACACCCCAAAAGGAAAAGAACTTATTCTCCTGGTAAAAGAAGCCTGACATGTTAGATTTGAATGGCAATTGGAAATTCCCTGTTTAAAATGAGGCTTGGTACGAAGGCAGATGTATTGTCAAGCTCTGTGGTTTGAATCACACAGGCTTGCAGTATTCAGCTGATAATGAGTTTGTACAACGGATCAAATCGCTGGAAGACTCACCCACCACACACAAGATTCCCTTGGTCCCATCCACTCCAGAAGAGATGAGTGAAATGCTCCAGCTCTGCTCCTATGTCCGCTTCAAGGTGCCTCAGCAGGTACAGTGGCTTGCAGCCATACCCTTGTGTTCTCTGGGGGCTCCAGTGGCCACACCAGCTTCCCTCCTAGGTCCTCTGCTGTTCCTGTTCACTAGCACCTTCTTATCCACTTCCATTTGTTCATTTTACAGTGGCTACATGGTGCCAGTGACATACCAGGCTCTGCACTGGGCATAGTGGTGAATATATAAGACAAAGAAGGTGCCTGAGAAGGTGTAGTTCAATATAGAGGGTAGACAATTAACAAATTAAAAAAATTAAGTCAGGGCCAGTGACTCATAATCCTAGTTATTCAGGAGGCTGAAATCTGAGGATCACAGTTTGAAGCCAGCCTGGGCAGGAAAGTGTGTGAGACTCTTGTCTACAATTAACCACCAAAAAGCCAAAAATGGAACTGTGACTCAAGTAGTAGAGTGTAGCCTTGAGCAAAAAAGCTCAGGAACAGCATTAAGGCCCTGAGTTCAAGCTCCAGGACTGGCACCAAAAATAAAAATTGTAAAATATATATATGCCTTTCAAGATCTTACCTCCCAATAATACCATATACCACGGCTATGAGGACTTGCAAGATTAGCCCTTGACAGTTCAGGAAATAGCTGGCCTTTTTTCCCCTCCAGTATTTCGGAGCTGTGAGAGGCCTGAGGAAATGAGTGTTCCCTTGCTTTCTGACTTTGGTTTATCTGTCCTCAGATCCTTCAAGGCCTTGTGGATGTCCGCATCCCCCATAACAACTTCTATCGGAAGTGTGAGTAGCTCTTTTGTTCAGCTGGGAGATGGTTACAAGTGAAGCTTGTGGCTGGTTGTTTTTTTAAAGCTCTGTAACTCTGAAATGTTTTATGGGCCCCTGAGGCAGGGAAGTGGTGGTCTGGGGTTCACTATCCCTTGACTCTGTTGTGGTACTCCTGGGCACCACTAAGTACATGCTCACGTGTTTCCCTTTTTTGGACAGTGTTTTTGGAAATCGTGAGTGAAAAGTCCAGATACACTCTGCATCAGAACATGGAGAAGATCAAGGTCCCAACACAGGTCATCTGGGGAAAACAAGACCAGGTATGTCACAAAGCCCTCAGAAAAGAGCCTTGAGGAAAAGCAAGTGGGCAGAGTCTTTTTGATCCATTCCTCTTATCTGGAAGGGGTGGCATCTGCACCTGCCAAGTGCCTGGATTCACAGTCCTGAGTTGAGACCCTTGTCATTTCTTCTTGTGGAGTTTCTAAGAAGCAGACTATAGACATTTACTTTGAGACCATCAATTGTCCTGCTCCTCCTCAAACACCCCCCCTAAATTTACCATCCATGATGATTCTTGTCCAAAACAATCTTTTTCTTCTTTTTTTGTAGTACTTGGGTTTGAGCTCAAGGCCACATGCTTGCTAGGCAAACTCTCTACCACTTAAGCCACGAGCCTAGCCTTTTTTTTCTTTTTTCTTTACTTACTTTTTTTCATAGGGTCTCACTTTTGCCTGGAGATGGCTCAGATCTCAAATCTCTTACCTATAACCTCCTGCATAGCTGAGATGATGGGTGCATGCCATCATGTTCAGTTTATTGATCTGGATGAGCGTCCAGATTGGCTTTATACAAAGATTCTTCTGATCTCTATGAGCCACTATGCCTGGCCTTCTCTTTCACTTCATGTGTGTGTGTGTGTGTGTGTGTGTGTGTGTGTTGAACTTAGGGCTTGAGCACTGTCTCTTAACTTTTTTGCTCAAGGCTAGTGCTCTACCATTTGAGCTACAGATCCAATTCTGGCTTTTTGGTGATTAATTGGAGATAAGAGTCTCAGACTTTCTTGCACAGGCTAGTTTGGATCCCCATCCTCAGATCTTAGCCTCCTGAGTAGCTAAGATTACAGACATAAGCTACCATCACCCAATTTACAACTGTGTTTCAGAAATCATCTCCTTCATATAATTGAAAGCCAGAGGAAAGAGTGGGACAAAAAAAGAGGAAGCAGTGAGAAACAGATCCTCTAAAAAACCTACAACACAGGCAGAATAAGTGTCTGCTGATGGGTAGGCAGGAGTCTTATACTAGGGAATATTGTGAATAAAGGGTATTACCTTAATCCACTATATATTTTTAAAGTTCACTATCTTAATCCACTTTCTGAAGCTATAACAAAATGCCTGAAACTGGGTCATTTATATGGATTGGAAGTTTACCAGGCTTGGTGTTTTGGAGGTTGGCATGTCATAGAGCACCCACCAGCATCTGAGTGGCTTCCTGCTGTACTATAACAGAGAGGAGGGTTTCATGTGGCGACAGAGATGCGGATCTAGGCAGAGCCCACAGTGGTAAGAAAGTCACTCCCACAATAACAAAGCTCTTCCCACCACAGTGACTCCATCCATCCATCCATCCATCCATCCATCCACCCACCCATCCAGGCAGGCAGAGCTCTCTTTAATCTGTTCATCTCTTGATGAGAGGGATAAATTCCTATGAGCTTTTGGAGGACACATTGAAACCTCAGCAGACCCCAAGATGAAGGCCTCCATGGGGAGGGAGGGCAGTGGTGACTCCAGTCAGTGTGGCAGAGGGAACACAGCACAGGGATGGGGGAGGAGGAGAGAAGGAAGGTTTCCATCTTCTTCAGAGAATGAAAGCAGCTTTGTGTGCCTGAGCCACAGAGGTAGCATCCAGGCTTGGTCAGCAGGCAGTCAGTTGATCAGGAATCAGCTCAGAACAACAGAGGTCTTTATTGTAAAAACACCCAGGTGATTTGAGCCTCCCAGGGACTAGCAGGGAAAGGCTATAACCCATTGTTTTGTGGAGACTCCAGGAGCCAAGCCCTGTGCTCTTGGTGCCCTTGGAGTCAGAATGTCTGCATCCCAGTTCCACTTTGGCCCTTTTCAGCCCTTCTTAGCCTGTACCTTTAAGCAGTCACTCAGCCACTCCAAATAGAACATTTCTTCCACTCCTGTGGTACTTGTGAGGCGCAAACATCCCAGTATATGGTGAACGATCATGTGAATGATGCCTCCTGTTGGGCACAGTACAGCCTGTACAATGAACCTGGCAGCCCCTCCTGATCGGATCCTACATGTCAATCCAAGCACCTCTCTTACGTGCCTTCTCCCTGTGTGTACAGTGCCTCACAAACAAGATCTTGAATTTCTTTATTGCATTCATGTTTTTTTCTTAAGTGACACTTTAAAATATTTTTTTTAATCTTGAATGATGAGGATTTGGGTGCCCATTTAAATTTTGTGCTCCAGGTAAGGACTTCAGTTAAATCATTTCATCCTAGCCCTGAATAAAATGAAATGGAAGAAAAAGATTATTTAAGCCAGACATAGGTGGCTCACACCTGTGATCCTAGCTACTCAGGAGGCTGAGATCTGAGGATCACAGTTCAACACCTGCCAAGGCAGGAAAATTTGTAAGACTTTAATCTCTAACCACCAAAAAACCAGAAGTGGAACAGTGGATTATATGGTAGAGTACCACCCTTGAACAGGAAAGCTAAGGGACAGCATTCACACCCTAAGTTCAAGTCTCCAGGACTGGCACCGGAAAAGATAATAAATAAACTGCTGGGCGCTGATGGCTCACGCCTGTAATCCTAGCTACTCAGGAGGCTGAGATCTGTGGATCACAATTCAAAGCCAGCCTGGGCAGGAAACTCCATGAGACTCTTTTCTCCAATAAACCACTAGAAAACTGGAAGTGATGCTGTGGCTCAAGCGGGAGACCCTTGCCTTGAGCTGAAGAGTGCAGGGAAAGCGCCCAGGCCCAGAGTTCAAGCCCCACAACAGACAAAAAAAAAAAAATAGATAAACCATTTATATGAATAATTTGTCCAATAAATAGCTTCTGTGGTTCCCACCAACATATATAGGTGATCACAGGAAACCCCTGAGCAGTTTTGTCTATGACTTGTTGTTTCTATTCTCTGCAGGATGGCTCTATGGTGGAGAGTTTCTTCTTTTCCACATCTTTTGTTCTGTTTTTAAATCTGTTGACTATGGACATTTTCCCCAAAGTAACTGGGTTTCATTCCTGTTCAGTGAGTGGCTACACTGAAGCATCTGCCCTGTGGCTGGCATTCCTTTCTGGCTGAGCTCTGAAGCCCCAGGTCCTCTTCATGAGCTTTGCAGGGCTCTCTTCTCCACTGAGATATCTGCTTGTTCCACTTCTGGGTACATAGGAAATCTTGGTTTTAATGATCTAAGTCTGAGAGAAAGAGCTTCAAGTCTTTGCTTCTGCTATTAAGGATGGAACAGAGGGCCCTTAGCTGGGAGGTTGCACCAAACGCAAACATACCTCAAGGGAGGATGTGAGAAAAAAGATGATTTAGACAGGCATGAGAACAGAGGGTATCCTACAGGGAAAACAAAGTGGATGAAGCCTGGTGCCAATGGCTCGTACCTGTAATCCTAGCTACGCAGGAGACTGAGATCTGACAATTATAGTTCCAAGCAGATCCATGGGACTCTCATTCTCCAATTAACTAGCAAAATGCCAGAAGTAAAGCTATGGCTCAAGTGGTAGAACTCCAGTCTTGAGCCTAAAAGCCAAGGGAGAATAAGAGGCCCTGAGTTCAAGTGTCAGTACTGGCAGCAGCAACAGGAGCAGGTATCTGTGGCTCATGCCTGTAATCCTAGGTCTTTAGGAGGCTGAGATCTGAGGATTGCAGTTTGAAGCCAGCCTGGCAGAAAAGTCCAAAAGGCAGAAGTAGAGATGTGGCTCAAGAGCTAGTGTCAGCCTTGAGAAAAAAAAAATGCTAAAGGAGAACAGTTGGGTCCTGAGTTTAAATCCCAGTACTAGGCAACAAACAATCAAAGATGTAGGGTAGACTTTAGGTCAAATTCACTTTAGGATAAGTGCTTCCTTTTATTCGACACCTGGTACATTTTGTCATTTGTGTGATTACACTGTTTTATCAACCTGGCCAGAGATTTTAATGGTTGGTCATTGATGTCTGGGCATCACTTCAGAGAAAGACAGATTCTTCTCCATACTCCCTTCAAGACAGGTGTCTGTCCTTGAGATAAGTATTTTAAACACTTTTTATGCCAGGAAGCATCATCTTCCCAGGTGTTTTTCCAGGGTAAATGTCTTTCTTTAAGATATCTTCACTCGGTTTCCAGAGCACATTAATTATTTGGAGCAGGCAGGCAGGGTCAGGTTGAGAGAGCTTCTCTTCTTCCCCCCATCTTCCCTACCCCCCATCTCTCTCACTTTCTTGCTTTGTTCTAGTACTGCAGCTTATGAGGGAATATAAGGCCCAAAGCAGGGGCTGGGAAGGTGGCTCAGTGGTAGAGCACTTGCCTTGCATGCCTGAGGCCCTGGGTTCGATTCCTCAGCACCACATAAGCAAAAAGAAAAAAGCCAGAAGTGGCGCTGTGGCTCAAGTGGAAGAGTGCTAGCCTTGAGCTGAAGAGCTGAGGGACAGTGCCCAGGCCCAGAGTTCAGGCCCCACGACCAGACCCCCCCCAAAAAAAAAAGCCCAAAGCAAAGCAGACAGTGTTTCTGTGTGTGGTTTTTTTGTTGTTGTTGTTTTATTTTTATGCCAGTCCTGGAGCTTGAACTCAGGGCCTAGACAGTGTCCCTGAGCTTCTTTTGCTCGAAGCTAGCTCTCTACCACTTGAAACACAACTCTACTTGGAGATGAGAGTCTCACAGACTTTTCAGCTTGGTCTGGCTTGAACTGTGATCCCCAGATCTCAGCCTCCTCAGTAGGTAGGATTATAAGTGTGAGCCACCAGCACCCAGCTTTCTTCTGTGGTTCTAAAGAAGCTACTCATGAGTACAGTGTGTCTGAATTCCTGGTATGCTATTTCTCATGCCTCATTTTCCCTGTATCCTGCCTCCTGCCTCCTTCTTGCCACCATGCCCCTCCCCACTGTCTGCTCTCTCAGTCTCCAGCTCTCTGCTGACCCCTCCCTTTTCTATGACTTTTACCCTTGTGTTTCTCAAAAATGGGGACTCTTCCCTACTCAGACAATGTCTTCTGTTTTCCTGATTCTCTCCAACTCTCAGCTCCCAGCATCTCTTCCAACAGAGCCCCTGGCACGCTGTGTTGTATTTCTCTCTTGAACGCTGATTCCCTTCAGACTATAACCTCTACTTAGCCAAGGACTGTCTTTTCCACCTCATTTTCCCTAGCAGCAGGACAACTCCTGGTATCAGTTGCAGAATCAAACAGAAGGCAAGCTGGTCATTCCCATCAAAGAGCCACAAACCCCAAGGCCAAATCAACTTGGTCTTCCAATCCACCCCACCCCACCTCCCTGACCTCCCAAGTCCCAGGAAGCTCTGTCCACAGAGTGCACCCAGGTGGCCAAATCTTGACATGCTGTCACATTCCCTCTCGGTCCTGGCAGGTACTCGACGTTTCTGGAGCAGATATGCTGGCCAAGTCAATCGCCAACTGCCAGGTGGAGCTTCTGGAAAACTGTGGGCACTCAGTGGTGATGGAGAGACCTCGGAAGACAGCCAAGCTCATTGTTGACTTTTTAGCTTCTCTGCACAACACAGACAACAACAAAAAGCTGGACTGAGCCCCCTTCTGCAGCCTGCATTCTGCACAGCATCAGCCCCCAGAACCTGACACGGCCACCACTCTCAGGAATCCTGCCCCAAACGCGGTTGGAGCACCAGCGCCAGTGTCCCTGAAGAAGCCAGGCCCCTGTTTCCTATATCCTTGGTTCCATAGAGCTTCAAGAGCCACAGGAACTCTCCAAGATCTTTTTTGTCCACCCCCCCCAAATGAAAACCCAAATGGAACAAAATAAGAAAGCCTAGCCATGAAACCTACTGAGGTCTTCAATTTCTGTCACTGACAAGCTTGTGTTCAATGGCCACCTTGGCCCATCATCATCAAGAATATTTTCTTTAAGACACTGCTTCACACACTCAAACTCAAGGTATTTTTTTTTTGTGGCTTCAGATATATCCCCTGCATGGTCAGTGTTTTTTACAGGAGCGTTAGTCCTCATTCTCTGAACCTTCTTGTTTAGATCAAATTCACATTTTGCATAGAGACTTTCAGAAATGTGAATGCAGCAATGAGCTGCAAGATCAGGAAGAAAGTAGAAATGGCCCCCACCTCAGAAAGAAAGAAAGAAAGAAAAAGAAAGAAAGAAAGAAAGAAAGAAAGAAAGAAAGAAAGAAAGAAAGAAAGAAAGAAAGAAAGAAAGAAAGAAAGAAGAAAGAAGGAAAGAAAGAAAGAAAGAGAAAAGAACTCCAGGGGTTGGAGGCATGGCTCAGGTGATTTGAGTGCCAGCCAATGAGTGACTGTGTCAGACACTGAGTTCGAGTTCCAGTTTTGGCCAGAAAAAAAAAAGTAGAAATTGTTCCTACCTTTTGCACATGAGGAAATGTGTGTGGTGGAGAGGGGCTTTGTCCATGGCCAGCTTGCAGATGGGCCCAAGTAGCAGAAAACACAGGTGGGTGGTTTATTTGGCACCTATGAGCCAGGTAGATTGTGAGGGACCCCAGAACAGTTGCAGAATAAGAATACCTGGTGAGGTGGGTTTCCCAGGAATGATTCCTGATTTCTAAAAAGAGGAGTAATAAAGCAATAATGTTCTAGACATCTAAGTAATCAGACTCAAGTTCTAAACATGTGCAACTCATGGGGACTCTTTTCTATTTTGCTGTGCTACTGAAAAACTCTTGGATGTAAAATACTAGTTTGTTAATGAATTCTGTGAATTCTGTGAACAGTAGCGTGATTGAAAATAAGTCAAAACAGCTGTAAAAGTGACTACAAAGATGTGAAATAAATTTAATAAGTCTGTATATGCAACATGCAAGTGGTTTCTCCTTCTGAGCTCTTACTTAATGCAAGGCTATGAAACACTTACGTTCAATTTCTTGATTGTTTTATATGTTTGTTTTGCTATGCTAGAGATCATACCTAGGCTAGTGCACACCTCAGGCAAGTGTTCTACCACTATCCCAAGAGCTATCCCCAGCTCTTGATTGTTTTGAGACAGGGTCTCACTATGTTTTCCGGGTAGCCTCATTCTCTCTATAGGCCAGGCTGGCCTCTAACTCTTGAGTTTCTTGCCCCTAACTGAGTGCTGGGATAACAGGTATGAACCATTAGGTTTGACTAAAGTGTATGTGTGGTGCTTAATTATGTAGACTTTGAAAGTCTTTGCTTGCCTGTTTGATTAGTTTTATTTAATGAAACTGCAGTACTTACCCAACTGAAATTATATATCCGAAGCAGAAGTCGTCAAACTATCCTTTTGACTGTCTTCTATTGCATTTGGTTGCCCCCTAAACAACCCAAGAGCTTGAGTCTTTCAAATCTTTACATAGAGTCTGAAGCTAAGTAGCTATGGGAATAAAGTAAGAAGAACCTTGTGGTTTCAATGGGAATTTAATGCATTGGGTTTTATCCCCCACCCCCCGCTTTTTTTTTTTTCTGCTAGTTAGTACTGGGATTTGAACTTGCACTTGCTAGGCACATGCTCCATTGCTGAGTCATGCTTCCAGGACTGTTCATTGTGTGTGTGTGTCTGTGTGTGTCTGTGTGTGTCTGTGTGTGCTGGTCTGGAACTTGAACTCTGAAGCTAAACACCGTTCCTTAGCCTTTTCAGTCAACACTGGTGCTCTGCTCTTTGAACCACAGCTCCACTTCCAGCTTTTTTCTGGTAAATTGGAGATAAGAGTCTCACAGATTTTTCTTGCCCCATGCTAGCTTTGAACTACAGTTCTCAGATCTCAGAATAATGAATAGCAAGGATTTACAGGTGTGAGCCCAGCACCTAGCTTAGCACTGTTTTTTTATTTATTTTTTTACTTTTTAAGTTATTTTTATTTTTTATTGTTATTATAAATGTGATGTACAGAGAGGTTACAATTATGTAAGTCAGATAATGAGTACATTTCTTTTTGGACAGTGTCACTCTTTCCTGCTTCAGTATGCCTGGACAGCGAGTCTTCATATTTACATTTCCCATAAAGGAAGGATAACAGAGGCGTACCACTATGTTTAGCTACTGACCAAGAAAGGGTTTATTTATTTATGTATTGCCCAGGATGGTCTTGAACCTGTCTTCCCTATCTCAGCCTCCTAAGCAGGTAGTATTACAGGCATAGTCCACCAGTGTCTTGCTGAATGATCATGGCAGTGTTTTGCCCTTTGGCTCCGGGAGGTACGTCCCCTTCCTGGGTGCTGAATTTTTGGTCTCTAAATCCTCAAGGCAATGTACAGGAACCTTAGGCCATGTTTAGGAGAGGAGAGATCCCACAGGCAATAGATAGGAGAGAAGATTCTAACAGATTTTGACAATGTCAGTGACCCAAGGTCAAAGCTGGCAGGGAGGGAGAGGAGCTTAGGTCAGCAATCTCTTCCCAGAGCTCTCAGAGCTAGGTGTGATTTGGGTTCAGAAATATTCACATTGAAAGGGTACTGTGGTGTGTACCCCATAAATCATGTAACACCCTATCTACATGTATGAGCAAATGAGGGCATTCTTGTATTTTCTGTGCAATATACATACAATGGGACAAGAACCCTAGCAAGCTTCTCCTGAGTTAAGATTAAGTCTGATTGTAAGATGTAGTTTCCGGCCCCCTACCCCCCCTCAGGTTGCAGATAAAGATCAGGAGCCTGCATTCCAGTTCCAACCCTCCTCCATAGGGCAGGAAAGCACCCCAAGTCTGTTCCCACTTGAGCAGAGCAGCCTGTAGATGGTGTGCTCCACAGCTCCCTCTTGTGCCTGCCAGCAGCATATGCAGATAGTATACTTCGTAACCATTACTGTTAGGAAAGTGATGCTTTGTCACTTTAAATAGAAACAAATGCTAAAAGGAGGAAGTCTCCTACATCCTCTGCACATCCCACCTTTCCTCCACTGGCCTCTTGGATGTGTGAAACTGGAGCTCTAGGCCACAGGCCCAACTCCAGGTATTACAAGTACCAGGTTTGGTCAGGTTTAGTATGTGGGACAGGCATGCTATGGGAATTGGCAAAAAAGCATTTTAACCCATCTTTGGGGGCACAGACATGAGTTTTAGGGTGCATGTGTGTGTGTGTGTGTGTGGTTTGCCAATACTGGGGCTTGAACACAGGGCCTGGGCACTGTCCCTTAGCTTTTTCACTCAATGCTGGTGTGTTACCACTTGAACCACACTTCTAGCCTTTTGTTAGTTGGAGATAAGAGTTTCATGAACTTTTCTGTCCAGGTTGGCTTTGCACCATGATTCTCAAATTAGCTTAAATAGAATTGTGGTTAGAGGAGAAAGGTGATGCATAATTAAGCAGTCCCAAGCAAAGTGTGGCCTGGTTGATCAGGATCTCAGTTCTGGTTCTGCAGGGGATGCTGGAGAAATTGTCACTGATATCACTGGAGGGGAGAAATCTGGTTCCCATAAGGTGATTCCTGCTGCTCCAGGGTGCAGCTTCATTATGGCAGCTAACTGTCCTTATTTGGGGAATGCTCTATCCTGCAAGACTCTTCTGAACCTTTCCTTGGGGTCATTTCTTTCCTTGTCATAAAGATGTTATCGATCAGTCCTGTGCTTCCTGGATTCCAAGGTGGCTGCAAAGTGACCGCACAGAGAATGGTTCACAGCAGAGGCAGATTCAAAATGGAAGCAGAGAGGCCAAGATTTTCTCCTGCTTTTAGTGAATTCATGTAGTCACAAAAGGAGCCAGTGATTTTTCAGTAAAAAGTAGTATTTTCTAAGTATGTGTTACATATGTACTTACATATACACACCTATAAACAGAGATCTGTGCAGATGCTTTTGTGTTTTACATCACCGTTGTGATGAACTATATTTTAGGACTCTTCTAGATTCAATCCATAAATCCCCAGGTTCTTGTAATGGACATGAGAATCTTCCAGCAAAAAGCATAAGGACCCCTCTGAGCCCCCTGAATTTTAAGAAAGGATCTCAGGCCTCTCCAGAAATAATCTTCATGATTACTAGATAGTTATTGCCCCCAAATTCCCCATTCCTCTGGGTCCTGGAGCTTTTAGGGGAGAGGTTTCTAAGCTACTTCTGAAGCAAGTGTCCTCCCTTATTGAAATGTATTTCAGAGCTTCTGGATGATACAAAGTTACAGTGGCTGGCTGCATTGACAGTGCACACACAGAAGGGGAGTTGTGGCTTGAAGAAGAGAAGACAGCAAGGACATCCTCCCATGGCAGGGGCCCAAGTGGAGCACACTGGGGCAGTGGCCATGCTGGCTTGCTGCTGCCCCCTTTGCCTGCCCAGGCGATGGGGGTGGTTAGGATCTGACAGTCTAGGTCTGAGCTTCTAGTCTATTTCTATTGTCTGGTGGGCTACCCCACAGTCCCTCCTCAGGAGTGCTGCTCATATCCCTCCAGCTCTTCTTTACTGGTGGTCCCCCAACCCTGCTGAGTGTTGGTTGCTGGGGGCTCACAGAGAACCACCCTCAGTTGACCAGGCTAGAGAGACTGCCCACCTCACATCCCACTTCCCAAGGGTGCCAGATTTAAAAACAAAAACAAAAAACGGATGCCCAGTAAAACTTCTATTGCAGATGAACGATGAGAACATTTAGTAAAAGGATGTCCCACTGATTTTTCACTTTTTTATTTGTATTATGTATTTTATTTATCTATTTAGTCAGTTCTGGGGTTTGAACTCAGGGCCCTGGGTGCTGTCCCTGAGCGTTTGTTGCTTAAGGCTAGCACTCTACCACTCGAACCACTTGAGCTCCACTTCTGGTTTTTTGCTAATTAGAGATCAGAGTCTCATGGGCTTTCCTACTCAATCTGGCTTTGAATTGTGATCCTCAAATCTCAGCCTCCTGAGTAGCTAGGATTACAGGCATGAGACACCCTTGCCTGGGCCATTGATTATTATTTTTTTTTTTTAGGTCCGGTCGTGGGGCCTGAACTCTGGGTCTGGGCACTGTCCCTCAGCTCTTCAGCTCAAGGCTAGCGCTCTACCACTTGAGCCACAGCGCCACTTCCGGCTTTTTTTTTCTTTTTGCTTATGTGGTGCTGAGGAATCGAACCCAGGGCCTCAGGCATGCAAGGCAAGCACTCTACCACTGAGCTAACTTCCCAGCCCCGCCATTGATTATTTTTATAAAAAAAGAATCCCTCCCATCCCTCCACTAGAGACAACCACATTTTCTCTCCCTCCCTCCCTCCTTTCCTTCCCTTTCCTTTCTTTCTCTTTCTTTCTTCCTTCCTTCCGTCTTTCCTTCTTTCCTCCCTCCTTCTTATATTTTCATTTGCTATAGTTGGCCCCAGGGGAGAAGTAAATAGGCTTATCTTCAAAAGACCTTAAAGACTCCAAGACTTCTGGTATTATTTATGCTCTATTTCTTCCACCACCAATATGTGGAATTTAGCTCCCTTACCTGCTGAATCCTGCTTTCAACCTCTGTCCTGGCCAGCAATAAACAGGAGCATTGCTTTCCTAAATCACAGGTGAGCACTTCCCAGAGCTTCTTGTTTGGAGAGGGTGCTCTGGGTCGCCTCAGAGGAGCAGCTTGCAGCCTGATTACACACAAGGGAGGGATAGGATACAGCTGTTAAGGTGCCAGGACCTCTTACCACCTTAGACAAATGACTTTGCTCCTTATGCTTCATTTTCGCCATCTGTGCAAGGTGTTAATGACTGTACAGTGAGTGGAGGGGATCATATGCACAAGCTATCTGGCAGCTGGCCGGTTTCCTAATGGAAACCATGGCTGCACTTCTGTAGCTTTTACCTTATGATTATTTTCATTTCCATAATCTTCCCTTTACAGAGTTTGTGGACACAGACATGAATCCCACTGGGAGAATGGATGATTGTGGGACTAGAATTCCTCTTGGACCCTTCTCATGCCTTTTCTTTTCCAAGTTGGAAAAGCATAGCAGGAGGGGGTGCACACAGTTCAGGATGACTTAACTCTCTCTTTGCTGCCATACCTTCCAGTTCTGTTTCCCTTCAACTTTGCTGTGAATTACAGTGATTTGAAGGGCCTCCTAGATACCCAACTCCCCCATCCCCAGGCAACTAGCTCCACCCAATGCAATTTAGTATGTAAATATCTCCATATCATACCCCTGGGGACAACTAAAAAAAGTAAAAAAAAAAAAAACATGGGCCAGATGAGATGGTGTACACCTGTAATCCCAGCTAGGAGATTTGATACCCTGTCTCCACATAAACAAAAGGAAGGAGGAAGAAAGGAAGGAAGGAAAGAAGGAAGGGAGGGAAGGAGAAAACTGGAGGGATGGAGGAAGACAATAGTTACATCTGGAGAATGGGTGAAAGGCAAGCTTACTTTTCCTTGTTTATCCTTTAATATCAGTTGAAATAATAAATTGTACATTTACAAAACCCATTAAAATGACAAACGTTAGTTGAAAAACAAAATCTCAAGGCCAATTTCATGTGCTTTTTATCATTCCAATGATCTCCTTTATCCTCTACTCTGCCTTAAGAAAATGTGCTGGCGGAAACTGGGCAGCAGGAAAGGCACTTCCTTCTCAGGGTCTGAGTACAGAAGTGAAAATTCACCAAGGCTCTTTGAAGACCAAAATGTATGAGCTGCTCAGGCTTTCTGGGCCACACAGCCTGGCAGGAAAAGTTTGCCAGGTGGCTGCCTTTGAGAGAGTCTTTGCCATTAGTGTTTCCTGGGTGACAGACACTATACTATCAACTATTTTTTTTTCACAGCTCTGTGAGGAAAATGCTAATTATCTTTCCATGTAAGAAATGCAGAAGCTAGAGAAGTGCCAAAAAAAAAAAAAACAGATTCAAAATGAGTCTGGAAACTTCTGAAATCCATTTATTTATTTTATTTTGCCAGTCCTAAAACTTCAACTCAGAGTTTGAACCCTATCCCTAAGCTTTTGTGCTCAAGGGTAGCACTCTAATACATGAACCAAAGCAGCACTTCCAGTTTTTTAATGGTTAATTGGAGATAAGAGTCTCATAGACTTTCCTGCTCAGGAAGGCTTTGAATTGGATCCTCAGACAGACCTATCTCCTGAGTATCTAGGATTACAGGTGTGAGCTACTGGCACCCAGCCAATCCAACTTTTTTCTTTTCCTTCCTTCCTTCCTTCCTTCCTTCCTTCCTTCCTTCCTTCCTTCCTTTCTTTCTTTTTCTCTCTCTCTCTCTCTCTCTCCTTCCCTCCCCTCCCTCTTTCTTTTGAGAAATAAAATGCCACTGTCAGAGGTTAGTGTTGATTTCTCTTTCACTTACTCCCCATCCTGTCTTTGGGGGGCAGGGGAGTGGGGAAGGGAAGCAGAAGTCACAGGACCAGAGAGTGTGGCCAAGGCAAGGATTCATGAAGCTTCAGCAGATCCATGAAGCTTCAGTATATGTACTTGCACACGATGGTACTGAAGCTTGAACTCAGGGCCTGGGCACCGTCCCTGAGCCTTTTTACTCAAGGCTGGTGGTGTACCATGTGGGGCACATCTCCATTTCTGGCATTTATTAGTTAACTGGAGAAAAGCATCTCAAGAACTTTCCTGTCCAAACCTCAATCCTGAGTGGCTAGAATTACAGGTGTGAGCTATGGGTACCTAGACATGGTGGATTTTTTTTTTTTTTAGAAAATTTAGGGAAACCAACCTCTTTGCCTCAGTTACAGGCTTGGCCGTGCAAGGTGTACCTTCACCCCCAACCCAGGCTGAATTTATGAATGAACAATTCAGTAACTATATGTGGAGTGGTGACTGGGTGCCAGGGCCTGGAATGCAGCAAGGGGCCACCATAGGCAAAGTCTCGCCCTCATGGGGTCTATGTTCAAAGTCTCTCACCAGCCCCTCAACTGGTTGTAAATTGTGTGGAGGGCACTGGATTAATCAGTCTGTTTTCCCACTTATAAATGTGTGACTTTGGGCAAATAACTTAGTCTGTCATCATACTGAGTTCCACCTCTGCAACATGGGGATGGTTATGATAATTGCTACCTCCATCGACTGAGTGAGGGTTCCACAAGGTAGTATAGCAGGATAAATCAGGGATAGTGAGGAAGGGAAACTGGAGCAAGAATTTAGAGATAAACATTGTATTCGTGAGTAGCTTGATTACAAGGCACTCCCTCATTAAACTGCAACATATACTTAAAAAATATATCCCTTCTCATTCTTTGTCCTCGCCTGCTTGCCCAAATGATTACTACACTCTGGGAACTGAGCAAGAATATTTTAAAGACACTTACCCATGGTAAAGGACTCCGTTGATCACATAACTGTTTTCAAAAAGGGAAATCAATTATCTTAAGGAAAGCCATCTGGTTTATAAGCAGCATCTGATGATATCTGACCTTTATTTAAAAGGGAGCTAAAGGAAAACATCTATGTCACAGTGACCTCAATTTGGTAAGCTGGCCAGAAATCTCTGGGCCCAATGATTAATGTCAAAAAGGGCAACAGTAAGAATGACAATGCATTGTGTGTCCGGAACCAAGGGGAACACTCATCTCCAGGCACATTCAAGCCAAATCCCCTAAAAGCTTTTTTTCCCCACATGAACTACTCCTGGCACCTGTTATCAGATGTAGCTACCCCATTTCTGGGTGTGTACTATCGTTCTTTTGTTTTACTAATAAGCTTTCTTGGTCTTGATGTGTTGTATACTGAAATTATTCTCTATTGTTTTCAGAACTGGGGTTTTAACTTAAGGTCTTGTGCTTGCTAGGCAGGTGCTTGAGGCATACTTCCATCCCTTTCCATGTTGGTTATATTTTGGAGTCTTGCCTGTTTGCCTCAACTTGTCTAGAGCACAATCATCCTATTATTATTACACCCAGCTTATTGGTGGCAATGAAGTCTTGTTATCGTTCTTGCCCAGACTGGTAAAAAGGAGATTCTTTTGATCTCTACTTCCTGAGAAGCTGGGATTACAGGCATGGACCACTACAACTAGCCCTAATTTTTTTTGTGTGTGTGATATCATGAGCTTGGGACTCAAAGGCTAGGTAAAAATCTCCTCCTTTTTGGAACTCTGTGTAGAGCCTCACTAAGTCAGGTAACAAAACCTTTTAGATAATGCCTGGCACAATGTAAGTAATACATATATATATATATGTATACTATACTATATATAGTATACATATATGTATAATATATAATTTGTTATATATTATACATATAAGCTATGATGATGATGATTTCATACATGACTTGTCCCAGGAGTACAGGTGCCATTGTTTTTTATTCCCCTGAAGTTTCCAGCACCTAGAATAGTGCCTAGTATATAATGAGGTGCTCAAGAAGTTATTGCTGAAACAATGAGTAGGCTTACATTTGGAAATACAACCAACTGGGTGTTCCCATGTCAACTAGGATAAAACACACGGAGCCACCAGGGACACAGAATGGGCACTGTCTTGGAGAGCGCTTAACACAGGAGGTGTTCTCAACAGGAGATTGCAGGGCTGGGCATTGAGCCCGATGGGATAATGCTTGCCTGTCAGGTACTCAACCCTGGGTACATGCTTAACCATGGAGAAAAAAAGAGACCCCAAAATGGAAGCGTGGATGCTAGATGTGAATTTGACGGAGAATGAACACGTAAGAAAACACATGGCTAGGAAAGCCACCTTTCCCAGGGCCAAGCTCGCACATCCTGTGGATAATTGCACGCAATCTCCAGAGCGGGCAGTAGAGGGCGCTGCGCACGGCTGCCCTCGGGACCTGCCCACGCTTCACGCCGCCGTGGTCGCGGGGAGAGAAGGAGGGCGAGCTGCGTGGCGACGTCATATCCGCCTGCACGTGTGGCGTCGGGGGTCTGGACCTAACCTAATGTAAACACGCCGGGGCCCTCTGGTGGCTGCTTGGTGGCGTCAGGCGTTGGGGAATTTCATCTGAGGCCCGAAGTCCAAGCAGGCGACTGGTGAGTGGACCGAGAACGGACCCAGAAGGAACCGCGGGGTCCCTGGGAAGAGCGTTGTGTAAGTCGCCTGCGCGTGCGCGCCAGCTGCGCACATGCGCCGTGGCGGCCGCCCGGAGGGGCTGAGGGGCTGGGGAGGGGTCGTCCGGAGGGCCGCGGGACCCGGGCTCCCCCTCCATCCTCCTCCGCGACTGCGGTGCCGCGTCTCCGGGCGGCCGCGAGAGCCGAGCGGCTGGGTGCCGGGCAGGGCGCATGCGTGCAGCAGGTGGGCGCTGACTCCCGGTGGGTGTGAATCGAGCCAAGTTGCACCCAGCCTAAGTGCCCGACGGAGGAGGCTGAGCTTTAACCAAGGGAAGGAAAACACACCCGTCGGCCGCGCAGGTCTAGGCGCCTGGGGGAGCGGTGGACCCGGCAGACCCCGGTCTCCTGGCGTGCTCCGGCTGTGGCGGAGTGGGAAGGGTGGAGACTAAGAATAAGTGAAATTCTAGCCCCTGGCTCACGCCTGTGTTCCTAGCTACACCGCAGGCTGAGATCCGGGGATCCTGGTCCCCAGCCTGCCCCGGGCGGGAAATGCCATCAGACTCTTTATCATCAGTTAATCACTAAAAAGTCTGTAGTGGAGCCTGTGGCTCCAGTGGTAGCCTTAAAAAAAAAAAAAGCCAAAGGATGCTGGGCACCGGTGGCTCACGCCTATAATCCTAGCTACTCTGGAGGCTGAGATCTGAGGATCGAGGTTGGAAGACCGCCTGGCTTGAAAGTCCGGGAGACTTATCTCCAGTAAACTACTCAGAAAAAGCCTGAGGTGGAGCTATTAGAGCGCCACCCTTAAGCACAAAGAGGCTCAAGGAGAGTGCCCAGGCCCTGAGTTCAAGCCCCAGGACCGGCAAAACAAACATACCCACACACAAGAGAGACAGAGGACAGTGCCCAGGCCCTGAGTTCAATCCCCAATATCATACACAGAATGCAAAGATTAAAAAAAACCCACTGTAATTATGTCAGGAGGTGGCTGATGATGGTAGGAGGGGTAAAGGACAGTGGGGACTAGGCCTGTGAAGTTTCCCTTTAAAAGTAGAGACTCTTCACTTAAGGTCCTTGACTTCGATCACAGAATAAGAGTTTTTGAACAAGTCATAATGGTAAGAAAGCTTGGCGGACCGTTATTAAGTAAGCAAGCAGGCAAATAGTCATGCAGACAGAGAGAAAGGTGGAGACACACTAAGTTTCTGGGTTTTTTTCTTTGCCATTCTGGTTGTTTTTTTTGGGTGGGAACATTCTCTCAGGAAGGGATACATCCTGCCAAACCAATGTTAATTCTTGGGGTGAGAAATGGCATCTCTTAGGAAAGAGTGCATCCTGTTGTTTTTCTTTGGAGCACAGATAGTGCTTCTGTTTCTGATTTGCCTTCACCAGGCTTCATTTTCCCTATTTTATCCTGTCTCATTTTCCCCTAAAATGACTTCGGTCCCTTCATGTTAAGGGAATTAGGTAGATGAGTATCTCCTTTATTTGCTTTAAGCTTGTGTTTTTGAATTCCTGGCAGTTTGCTCATGATGTCTCATTTTCTCTAGTCTATCCTGCCTCACTTTCCCCTAAAATGACTTCAGTCCCTTAATCTTAAGAGAAGTAGATGAATGAATATCTTCTGTATTTGCTATAAGTTTTCTGAAATCCTGGAAGCTGTTTACCACACACTTCATTTTCTCTTATCTATCCTGCCTCAATAGGATAGACACAGGGCCAAAGTGGGTGAGATTCTCATGCAAAGTCAAGGGGGCCAGGGAGAGGGAGTCATGTGGCATCCTGGAGGAAGGGCATTTCCTGCACCAGGAAAAGCTGGAGCTGAGGCATAATGGCTGGAGCAAGACTGCTGTGAAAAACAGCTTGGTGGAGGGGATTCAGCCCATCACATCTAACGATGCTGGGCTTCTTGCTAGTAGGGCTCCAAGGAGGTACAGGACATTGCAGCACAAGGAATAGGAAGCATGTGTGTGTCCCTATGCTCTCCTCCTCTTTCCGAGCCACTAGAGTTTAATTATGGGGCCCTTTCCTGCAAGCCCCACCTCTGAACAACTTACGTTTGCATCTAAATACCTGACTTGGGCATTAGATTCCAGCATGAGTTTAGGAAGGGACATGAGTTATTCAAATGGCCCCAATTCCCAGTTCCAAGGGCTGCTTGCTCTCTGGGTGAGAACCACAGACCTAGGAGGGGAGGGACAGCAGAAGTACCATTCTTCATTATCCTGTTGTGTTTTATATTGAATGAGTAAACAAGGAGACCCACAGATTTTACCTTTTATGCTTTTCCTTTGCATTTACAGGCAGAGCAGTTTTTTTTTAATGATTGGATTATGTCAGTTCTGAAGTAGAGTGATCTTGAGGGAGCACAAGGTGGTTGGACCCTTCATCTTTACTAATTCTCGTCTTCTCAAGGCTCAAGCCTGTGATCCTAGCTACTTGGGAGGCAGAGATGAGGGATTGCAGTCCAAGGCCAGTGTGGGCATAACAGTCTGTAAGAGTCCATCTCAACAAGGGGCTGGACATGGTGGTGTGTCTTCTCATCCGTCATCCCAAGCAGGGTGGGGAGGTGCAAGTAGGAAGAGCTCAGCCTAGCCTGGGCTTAAAGTAAGACTCTGCTAACACCAGTAGGTGCTGTAGCCAGGCACCAGTGGCTCACACCTATAATCCTAACTACTCAGGAGGCTGAGATCTGAGGATTGTCCTTCAAAGCTGCCTGGGAAGAGGAGTCTCTATGAGACTATTACCTCCGATTAACCCCTCAAAAACCAGAAGTGGTGCTGTAGCTCAAGTGGTAGAGCATTGGCCTTGAGTACAAAGAGGGTCACAGATGGCGGCAAGGCACTGAGTTCAAGCCCCACAGCCAACAAACAAAACAAAAACACAAAAAAAGTAGGGGCTAGAGGCATGGCTCTAGGGGTAGAGTGGCTTCCTAATAAACAGGACACCCTCAGTTCAATCGTGAGTACTGCAAAAAAAGGAGGGGCGAGGATAGTTTTTACTGTTAGGTAAATTAAATAGGTAGGTTTAATTAGGTAGCCAATAAGGAGAGCACCACATGATATTCAGGCAGGAAGAGAAGTTTATTTTACTGAACTGCTGCCCGTCTGTGCATGGTGGAGAAGCGTTGCAGAAGGGACAGGCTGATGTCCTATCTGGGTTTAAATAGAGCAGGGGTGGGGAGAAGGTGCTGCCAGGAGAGGGAAGGTGTGGCCACACAGGATGTGAACTCAGGGCCTGGGACCCTCCCTCAGTCCCATGGGAGGCATGATGGGCTGGGGGCAGGGAGGAAACGTAGGGGTGGCCTAGGAAGTGACCTGGAAGGGAAGGTGACTCCCTCCAGGTATGCCAGATACCTAGGTGATGCAGGTACTGGGCCAGACTTAGCCAAGAGGAGGGAGGTGTCTGCTCTGCCTTCCCAGGGCGGACCTTACATTTATGCCATGTCATAGGGTCACATTGAAGATTTAGACATTGGCTGGCAAGGTGGCTCGGTGGTAGAGAGCTTGCCTTGCATGCACGAGGCCCTGGGTTCGACTCCTTAGTACCACATAAGCAGAAAAATCTGGAAGTGGTGCTGTGGCTCAAGTGGTAGAGTGCTAGCCGTGAGCTGAAATGCTGAAGACAGCACCCAGGCCCAGAGTTCAGGCCCCACAACCGACCAAAAAAAAATGGAATTAGACATTAATGTATGTGAGACTCTTAACCCAGAGCTGGGTGTCCAATAAAGAAAAATGTTAGCAAGAGTTACATTACTAAGATTTAAATTGCACACCGATCTAGCATGTTAACAATGTAGAAACTTCCTTATGTGTGGATGAGTAACCTTAGTCTGACCAGAAGTAGAGGTTAATCCAATAGGAGGTCTTTTAAAAGTCAAATAGGCTGCCCAGGTGCCAGTGGCTCATGTTTGTAATCATAGCTACTCAGGAGATTGAGTGAAATCCAGAGGATTGAGGTTCAAAGCAAGTCTGGGCAGAAGAGGAGAGACTCCATATCCAAAAGCCATGCTAGAGGCATGGCTTAAGTAATAGAACTCCAGCTGAGCAGTTGTAAGGTTCTGAGTTCAAGACCCTGATACTAGCAAAAACAAAAAAAGATCAGGTTGTTATTACAAATGTGGAAGATAGCTTGTACCAGTAATTACTAGTCCTTTTGACTTGCTATAGGTGTGATCAGCGTTGGAAAAGATGCCATTGCCCGCTACCACATATGAAAGAGTAGTTTACAAAAACCCCTCTGAGCACCACTACATGAAAGTCTACCTGTAAGTTCAATTTCCTAAGTTCTGTTTGACATTATTTATATGAATCTGAAAAACATAAACTGTAGTGTGATGCTTTTTTAATGTTTTTTACAGAGACTTTCAAGATCATGGAGTTGAAGTGAATGTTGCCCAGTTCAAACAGCTGCTTGTGTCTGCTCTGAAGGATCTGTTTGGGGAGGTACAGAATCATTTAGGTTAATATTCCTCTGATAATTATAAGAAATACAGAGAAGGGTGAAGTGCTGGTGGCTCACACCTGTAATCCAACCTACTTAGGAGGAGATCTGACAATCATGGTTCAAAGCCAACCTGGGCAGAAAAATCCATGAGACTCTTGTCTCCAAATAACCGCTCAAAAGCCAAAAATGGAGCTGTGGCTCAAAGTGGTAGAGCACTAGCCTTGAGCAGAAAATCTCAGGGACAGCTCCCAGGCCCCACAACTAATAACAATAATAACAAAAATTGAAAAGATGAATTACAACTTGGTGAAAATATTTGTAAACTCACAAAGAACTGATGTTTAGAATGCACAGACTTCTCAAAACAGTAGCTGGATGCCAGCGGCTTATACCTGTGATCCTAACTACTCAGGAGGCTGAGATCTGAGGATTGAGGTTCCAGGCCAGTCTGGAGGTGTGGTTCTTGTGGCAGCTCACTAGCCATGCATGAGCAAGAAAGCTGAGTAAGAGTACTAAGCACCGAGTTCAAACTTGAGTACTAGCACTAGAGGGAGAAAGTCTATATACATTTGTATGTTTGTAAATAAATAACAGCAAATAGTCCAACTAGAAAATGAGCAAAAACCATGCATAGACTTTTTAATGAACATGTATATTTGGCAGAGAAGCACATGAAAAGATGTTTGGCAATAGTAACTATTGATGAAATGTACATTAATAATACAATGTAATTTGGCTGTGCAGATGACAAATTTTAAAAAAAATGATAGCATTAAATGCTGGCAGGGATGTGGAGAAATTGGGTCACTTGTACATTGTTGGTGAGAACATGAAATAATGAGGCCATCTGCTACATAAACTAGACATACACCTGCCGTACAACCCAGCAATACCACTTCTGGGCATTATCCCAGAGAAGGGAAAACTTCTTCTCACATAAACTCTATGAACACAAATGATCGTAGTGTTTTCATTTCTTTGTTTCTTTTTTTGTCTGAGGCTGGGACTTGAACTTTCCAGTCTCTGACACTTTTGCTCATCGGCTGGCACTCTTCCACCTGAGTCATACCTCCAACCTGTGTTTTCATTGTAATAATCTGAAAATGGAAATATCCCAGTTGGCCTTCAGAGGGTGAATGAATCCAGACACTTATGTGAGAAAAAAGCTACTACCAAAAGATTATCTCCTAGATGGTTTTGTGCATATAAAATGCTCTTGATGTAAAAAATCATATAATCTGTAGAAAGGTTAGTGTTGCCAGAGGCTGGGGATGGGGAGGAGTAGGTTTGCTCGTGGGGCTTGAACTCTGGGCTTGGGCACTTTCCCTGAGGTCTTCAGCTCAAGGCGAGTGCTCTGCCACTTGAGCCACAGAACCACTTCTAATTTTCTGGTGGTTACTTGGAGATAAAAATCTCATGGACTTTGTGCTCCAGCTGGCTTTGAACCATGATCCTCAGATATCAGCCTCCAGAATAGTTAGGATTACAGGCATGAGCCACGGGCGCCTGGCTTTGGGCTCCTTTTGCTCAAGGCTAGTGCTCTACCACTTGAACCATAGTGCCACTTCTGGCTTTTTTTGTCATAAATTGGAGATAAGATTCTCACAGACTTTCCTGCCCAGGCTAGCTTTGAACTGCAATCCTCAGATCTCAGCCTCCTGATTATAGGTGTGAACTACCATCACCTGGCTGCAAGTTCTTTATCTTGATTGCAGTGGTTGTTTTTTGAAGCTACCTATGTAGTAGAATTATATGGAACTATACATACAGGTAAATATACATACATGTACCTGTATGTGTAACTGGCCAAACCTTAATAAACTCTGAATTGCTCTCATAGTGATTACAGAAATTCACTACTGTACCATTGGTCTACAAGATGGTGACACTGAGTGGTGGGCTTGTAGAACCTTGCTGCATATTGCTTTGCCATTCTCTCTAAGTCTAATTTTTCTAAATAACAAGCTACAAAGAGATCTGTGTACTTTTATATGTCAAAGGTCAAATTTGGCTTTAGGACACATAAGTGAAATAAAGACATGGGCTCTGCCTTACAGACTAATATTCATTCAAGCCAAAGGAAAACATGTTACATAATTAGTGAGAAGAGAATTGTGAGAAAGGAAGTGTGGTGTCCAGTATAAGAAAAAGTATAGCAAGCAGGTTGAACCTAATCTTGAAGATCAGAAAAGGATCTCTTCATTCTACCTATATTTTTTTATTTGCACACATTAGTTGTACAAGGGGGTTTCATTGAGACATTTCCATATGTACATACAATGTGTCCCAATCAAATTCATCCTCCCCTGTACTCTCCCTGGTAAAACAGTTTCATTAGCTTTCATTGTTCTATTTTCATATATGCAAATATGCACTTCTTCAACTGTAATCATCCTCATTCTCTCCCTCCATTAACCCTTCCCATTCCTGCCAGTTACTCCCCACACCCTATATTCAGAGCCTGTTTGACTTAGGGAAGGGACAGTTAAAACAAAGATTTGGGGTGAGGAGGTATCCACTACATGAAGAGGTGTAGGAAGCTTCTAGGCAGAGGGAGCTATAAGCGAGATGAGTGAGTGAAATGCTACGTTTCATGGAGGAGAAAAACCTCAATGTTGACAAGTTTTGGTAGTAGTCTGCTAATAGAGTTACTGTGTACCTAGGTTGGGGCTGCTTTACCTGTGGATGTCCTAACCTTTGAAGAGAAGACCTTGTCAGCCATCTTGAGAGTACCTAGCAGGTATGATCGACAGTGGAACATTTCGATATTAGTAGCCAGTGGAGAAACATCGAGAAGAGCTGCATGCTTGTGAACTCTGAGCAACATAGGGGAATTTAAACTGGGTAGAATATAAACATTTATCCACTGGGAGCTAATACTCTACAGAGAGTAAACGGTGTGATTTGTTTACAACTACTTTCCAATTGATGAAAGTGGTTACAAAGTCAGAAATGTGTATTGTAGAAACATTGTTAGGGTCCTTTTATCCTTTCCTTGTTTTCACTTCTTTTGTTTTTGTTTTTCCTTTTTTGGCAGTGCTAGGGTTTGATTTCACCCTTGCTAGACAAGTGCTCTTACCGTTTGAGCTATGCCCCTAACCCTTTCTTGCTTCAGTTATTTTTCAGTTTAGGTTTTATATTGTTGCTCAGGGCCAGCCTCAGCCCGTCGTCCTCCCACCTGTGCTTTCCTGGGTGGCTGGGATGACTAGTGCGTACCACTAAGATGAGAGTCTCTCCTAAGTCGGCCACTGTACCTAATTTTTTTTTTTTTTGCCAGTTCTGGGGCTTAAAGTGGGCCTGAGCACTGTTCCTGAGCTTCTTTTTGCTCGAGGCTAGCGCTCTACCACTTGAGCTGCAGCACCTTTTCTGCCTTTTTCTGTTTACATGGTACTGAGGAATTGAGCCCAGGGGGTTTCATGAATGCTAGGCAAGCACTCTACCACTAAGCCACATTCCCAGCCCTTGTTTTTGTCTTTTTAGCTTATGTTTTCTGATTAAAAGCAACCTTTTTCCAGACTATCACAAACAAAATAACTAGGGAAATGTTTCAGGGACAAATGCTTGTTTACTAATGTTTCCTTGATCTTTCTGCAGTGGTATGGCCAAATTGTGGAGCTCTTTGACCCTGTTAGGATCCTATAAAGGCAAGAAATGTGCTTTTAGAGTAATTCAGGTAAGGGTGATTCTTTTATGGTTTTTAAATGAGACTAAACAGTAGATCAACTGCCTTTTTAATGTATGTGCCTCAATCTTGTGTTTGAAAAAAAAGCTGTAGTGTAGTTAGGTCATCTAACAAAGGAGGAAAAGAACTCTTCAAACCCAGGGCTTAATTGCTTCTGAAAATGTGAGACAAAGCACTGTAGATTGCACAGGTGATGTTTGGGAATTTCCATATACAGAGTTCTCTTGTGATTCATATGATAAATGCTTTAGCCTAGTTTTTTTTAAATTAGTATGCACTTCTTAAGTTTTGATTGTTGTTTAATCAAGGCTGCATCCCAGCATACTCTTCAAAATGCTACTGTACCCACTTGCTTTGTCCTATAAAGCTAGGCTTTAGGCTTGTTTCTATATTTCCCCTTGTTTCATTGCTGTGTTCTGGTATTGTGTGGATTTCCTCCCTTCCTCCTTCCTTCTCTTCTCTCTTCCTTCCTTGTGACATTTCACACATGTATATAGTGTATCCAATCAATCATATCCCCTCTCAAGATGCATTATATGCATAAACTGACAGAATTTGTACAACAAAAGATTAAACATATGTATATGTGTATATATCCCCTTCTATCAGCATTAACCTTTTTTTTTCTCTCTCTCTTGTAGGTTTCTCCATTTCTCCTTGCATTATCTGGTAATAGTAGGGAACTACTATTGGATTGAATAGTCCTCAATCTCTGAAAGCTTTCTTCACTCTCAAAAGTATTTTTGGTGCTTGCATAATTTGAAAACAGAAGCAGGCTAAAAACTCCTGCTGGTGAAATTTGAAGATGCTGAAGATGTTCTGGATAATTTCCAACCAACACCTGTGGTGGCATGGGCTTCGGCGGAGAGTCTGCCTGAGTGCACCAATGCTGACCCCACAGTGCTTTCAGAATGTGTCTCTGCACGTTGGAGACCGGGCTGAGCTCAGCAGGGCCTTCACACACAGGGATGTGACTGTCTTCTCACAATTAACTGGGGATGTCAATCCTTTGCATTTAAATGAAGATTTTGCAAAACATACCAAGTTTGGAAAGCCAATTGTACATGGCGTTCTGATCAATGGACTTATCTCAGCTCTTCTGGGTACTAAAATGCCAGGGCCAGGCTGTGTATTTCTTTCTCAGGAAATTAACTTCCCAGCCCCGTTATATATTGGAGAAGTTGTTTTAGCTTCTGCAGAAGTGAAAAAGCTGAAGCGGTTTCTTGCTGTTATTGCAGTATCATGTACTGTAATAGAAAGCAAAAAGACTGTTATGGAAGGCTGGGTTAAAGTTATGGTCCCAGAAGCTCCCAGATCCTAAAGTGTGTGTTCAGAGTTGCAAGTTAAGTACCAGTGCTCTGGTTACTAAAGACAGCTGAGGAAATGGGCTGCTCCTCCTTACGAGTGGCTGATAGTCTCCAAAGCCCTATGGAAAAGAGGAGCAGCAGGCCCAGGGGTGTTCCAGTGCCCACTTTTCAGTTTGACTTTGTACTTTATCCAGACTTGATTTTATCAAGTCTGTCTAGGTTGTTGAAGTTGAAAAAATACTGAGGTATTTATCTGAATTTACCAAAAAGTTCTACTTTTTGAACTTCAAACAGAGATTTGCATTAGATTATACTACCTACATCTCTGCAGAATAAGTTTCTCACAGAATTTCTAACTGTCAAACATTTAATAACTGGAGCGGGGCACTGGTGGCTCATGTCTGCTACTCAGGAGCCTGAGAGCTGTGGATCACTGTTCAAAGCCAGCTCTGGCAGGAAAATCTGTCAAAAAATAAAATAAAACTGGAACTAGAGCTGTGACTCAGATATTAGAGTGCTTGACTTGAGCAAAAGAAGCTCAGGGACAGCACCTAGGTCCTGAGTTCAAGCCTCAGGGCTAGAAATTTAAAATAATACCTGAAGGTAACAATAGAAGTTGGATATCTTTGAGCACCTAACCTCTAAGTATTCTTAGACCCTTTTCTCAGCCACTTCTAGGTCAGAGTTCTTCTTTTTTCCTGTTATACCAAGATAGTGTATTGCTCAACATTTTATGGGACTGCCTTTCAACCGCCTTTTCTGTTTTTAGAGAATAGCTGTGTGCTGACTTGAACTCAACTGTGTAAAATATATCTCACCTATAGATGGTGATAGCAGGTTATCAGACCAATCTTTTAGCCTTAAACCTGAAGCTGAACCTTTAAGGCAGAGTGTCTGTTGTAAGGATCCAGATTTTCTCCCTCCCTTGAAAATGTGCATTTACGTCACGTTATATAAATACATAAACAAATGCTCATTGTAAAAGGATTGTAAGGAATAAAATGTATAAAGCCAACAATGGAGGCAAAGTTCTTAAGGTCTGGGGGGTATTGATAGGGAAATGTGCCTAATGTGTTAAAAGTAATGATTATCCCTAAGTAACACTTGTAATTATCTATAACATACATGTGGTCCGTATATGCGTAACTTTAAATGGTAACTGATCACAGCTAGGTGATTCAGTCAAGAAGACTAGATCAGCCAGGGCATGGTGGTACACAGTATAATCTCAGCACTTGGGAGGGAGCTTGAAACAGGATAAGGAATTTGAGACCAGCCTGGGCTACATAGAAACATTGTCTCAAAACAAGATAAACATAAAGGTTATTGGCTGGCTATCCCATGTTTTGTAGTAAAAAGGGTTTATTCCTGCAGAGGGATAAGTAATCACATTTTTAATTATTTTTTTTTTCTGCTAGTAGAGGAGCAAAATTGATTGGATTATTGGGAAGAATTATTCTTGTCGCTAGAGGGCAGTGATGTGTATAAAGTGAGGTTTTAAACCTGCTTATTGTTAATATCTAGTCTGAAGGTAGGAAGGGAATACCTAAGGAGCAAGGATGCCGTTCTGTGTCTCAGATGGGTAATGCTTCAGGCTGAGATCCACCTAAAGACTCACCTTCAGGTGAACCACTAGATATGCTGAACATTTGTTAACATCAGATGAGGGAATTTGAGGCCATTGGTGCTTACTTCATCATCAGCTGGGCTTAGCGGCAGTCTTCAGGCTGTAGCCAAAATGGAGTATGATGTGATCGTTACTCCTACCACCTGAGAAGCTGATATTTTCTGTGTTTAATCCTTGAAACAATTTCCCAAAGTTAGGTAGACATGGGAGTGGGCTAATGCCATGTGACTTGTTCAAGGTTGTATGGCTGAATTGGGATTCAAACTTGAGCCTACCTGGCTCCATAACTTCATTTTTCCAACACAGTGTTTGCTTACAGTGTTCTAATTTCTGCAGCAGTCAGTTGTAATAGCATTTATTTTTTGTTGGTACTGGGGTTTGAACTCAGGGCCCTAAATTCTCTCAGCTTGCTTGCCTGACTGGCATTCTACCAGCTGGCCCTGGCTCTCGCCTTGCTTTTTGCTGATTATGGTGGAGATGGTGTCTCATGGCCTTTTCTGTCTGAGGGCAGGTTTCAAATCTTGGCCTTCTATATCTCATTCTCCTGAGTGGCTAGGAGTACAGGTGTGAGCCACTATCTCTCGACTCCGAGCCACTATCTCTCGACTCTTCCTCCTCCTCCCCCCAATACTAAGGTTTGAATTCAGGACCTTGAACTTGCTAGGCAGGTACGTTTTTTTGCTTGTTTCATGCTCCTAGCCTTTGTCGTTGTCCTCTTCTTCCTCCTCCTCCTCCTCCTCCTTCTCCTCTTTTTTTTTTGTTTGTTTTTGTTTTTGGTCGGTCGTGGGGCTTGAACGCTCCTCTTCTTTTTTGCCTAGGGCTGGCTTGGCAGAGATCCTTTTACCAATGCCTACTTTCTGGCTGGTATTACAAGTTCATACCATTAAACCCAGCTTTTTTTTTTTATATGGCATCTAACTTTTTGTTGAGGCTAGGCTCAAACTACAGTCTTCTCAATGTCTTCCTCTGAACTAACTGGCTCATACAGATATGTACCACCAAATTTACCCCTTTTTAAAAATTTGAGTCAAATGTAATCCTGCCTCAGCTTTCTGAGTGTTGAGTTAGGCATATAGCACCATGCCCAAACACCTACCATTTCTAAAATTGATATTCAGGGATTATTTGTCTTCAGAGTAGAATCACTTCAGGGATTTGTCTAAACATGAAAAGTTACAGGCAGGCCAAATATTGGAGTGGAAGAAGCATGCCACATCTGACAGCTAGCTGGTTTACACTGTAACTCCCAAAGAAGCTTAATAATAACATCCCCATATTTTTTTTTAATGCTCCCTAGGTACTCATGTCTTCGATCTCTATGATTAATAAAAATGGAAAGAAAGGAGCTGGGAAAGTGGCTCAGTGGTAGAGCGCTTGCCTTGCATGCCTGAGGCCCTGGGTTCAATTCCTCAGCACCACATAAGCAGAAAAAAAAAAAGCCGGAAGTGGCACTGTGGCTCAAGTGGTAGAGCGCTAGCCTTGAGCTGAAGAGCTGAGGGACAGCACCCAGGCCGAGTTCAGGCTCCATGACCGTGCCCAAAAAAAAAAAAAAAAAAAGGAAAGAAATAGGCAAGAGAATATCAGTATTTTCTGTAAATAATGACTTGTCATTTTCACCCAGAGCCAGAATTCTCTGGCCACTCATGCTTGGTTAAAGCCAGCTATAAGGAAAATTGGCTGGTTGAATTCTCATTTAAAGCCCCACACAAGCTTGAGAAGAATACCTGTCTTACAATAAGTGGTTGAGTGACTCCCAAATTAGGAAACCTTCCCCCCATATAACTGAGAGGTGCCCTTAAGTACCACGTGTGGTAGTGAGTACCACAGTAGTGAAGAAAAATAGCCCAAATTGTACCAGCACTTTCCACACAGAGGCAATACGAGACTACAACTTAGGTGGTATTTGATTGCCACAGAAAGAACATCCGTCTTAAGCAATTTCAGCCTAATGTACTGGAAAATTGCTTAACAGCTTCTTATATTCTATTAGAAACATTTCTATACTAGTGAAATGCCACTCATTTTTGTTTTCAGCAGCAAATCTTGGATGAACAGGAAAAGAATCTCATGACCACCATTTATTGTGTGGACGTGACTTACGTGTTCATCTAGAAAAAGACATTACTGAATGTACACCGGTGCCTCCGAGGTAAACACAGGTTCTCATCTTGCGCTAAACAATTAGTCATTTTTCTTTTATGTTCTTCAGAGTATAATGCAGAGACCAGTTTACTCCCCAAGAAAATTGCTACTAACTTACACCTATTAAGTTTCTATATTAAAACAGCCTTCCAAGGGTTGACTGTTGCTCTGAGTGACTGTAGCAGTCACAGGAGCACAGGAATACATCCACCCCCTAATGTTTCACGGCCTTTGTTCTTGTCTTTGCTTCCATTTGGCTTGCAAACAGCAGACACAGGATATCTCCAAACCTTCAGAGAAATTTGGAATGGAGCAAATCACCAGCTAGAAGAAGCCATTGAGTTTAAAAATAACAAGTCTGCCTGGGCAGGAAAGTTGGTGAGATTCTTATCTCTAATAAACCACCAGAAAACGGAGTGGTGCTGTGGCTCAAGTGGTAGAGCGCTTGCCTTGAGCTGAAGAGCTCAGGGACAACACCCAGGCCCAGAGTTCAAGCCCCACGACCAACAAACAATAAAAAATAAAAAACTTAATTTGGATGAATAGTAAGATTAAGAAGCTCCACAAACTATTTGTGCCTGGAAAGCATTTTGAGCTTATCACTTGGGACAGAATTTCCCTATGATATGATGTAAGGGAAATGATCAGCTGGGACTTGAATTTTGTTGTTTAACATCCAGGTCATGAATAGCTAAAGAAGGAAAGTTGGGGGTTGGGGAGAGGCATTCTGCTTAGAAAGTAATGACTTTCTACAAACTTCTATGATAATTTGTAGAGCATTTGTTGGGCCTAGACACTTCACTAAAACTTACTATGTTCAATCAATCTGGCCTAAATGAGCCTTCTAAACATTAAGCAACCTAGGAGAATGTAAATTCTTTTTTTAAATTTTCCTGCTTTTTTTTTTTTTTTTTTTTGTCTGTCGTGGGGCTTGAACTCTGGGCCTGGGCGCTGTCCCTCAGCTCTTCAGCTCAAGGTGAATGCTCTACCACTTGAGCTACAGCGCCACTTCTAGTTTTCTGGTGGTTTATTGGAGATAGTCTCACGGTCTTTCCTGCCCGGGCTGGCTTTGAACCACGATCCTCAGATCTCAGCTAGGATTACAGGCGTGAGCCACCGGCGCCCAGCCTTCTTTTCCTGCTATTCTTATACCACATGGGGTTCCCCCCCCCCCATAATTTGTATGTGGTAAGACCTGAAACGTTCATATTCTTAGTTTTATCCAGCTTGAGCCTGGAAGCAAAGCTGATTTGATTTTAGGTTGGTTCTGGCTTGGAGAGTGTTGCTTTTATGCAGCCTGAGCCACTTCAAAAGCTAAATGGAGTCAGGGACAGTGACAAGCCTGTAATCCCAGCCACTTGAGAAAGGCTGGAGATGAAGGATCTCTTGAATTTAGGAGTTGAATTTGAGTCTGGAAGAGTCTTACAGATTTGTCTGCTTGAGCTGGCTTTGAACCATAATTCGCAGATCAGTCTTCTGAGCAGCTGGGATTAAAGGTATAAACCACCAGCCTGTGGCTGAAGCCAAATGGATGTTGAGGTTGTTCTGGGATTTATAGCCTGGTCTTGGGATGCAGTTAAGTCCAGCATCCCTAAGGTGTTGTACTAAAGAAGAAAAGGAGGTCTAGCACAGTATTGATACTAAGCAGTATTTATTCTTTGTTCTGGGAAAAGTCTCCAGAGGAAG